CCCCCACTCAACTGCGAAGTACCAGGGTCCGCGCCCGAGTTTGCGCAGTGTCCCTGCGTCTCCCAGCAACGCACCTCAGTGCGGATGGGGAGCATACTTCAAGGTACTCCACTGGCGAACTGCGAAGTGACTTCTTAAAGAAACCCTTAGAGGGTATCCGATGAGACGGACTTACTGTAGAATAACGGTGCGTCTTTCGCCTTTCGAGCTACCGTGGCCCCGAGCTCTGAGCCTGCGTTTCCGCCACGGTGTTTCACGGCCTCCCCTTCCGCAGGACACCGGGCGCAGGGTGAGCTTTCACCCTGTTTTCTGAGTTTAATTTTCTTTCTTGCTTGCTTTTTTTTTTCCCCTCCGGTACCGGGAATCAAACTCACGACCTTGCGCTTGCCAGGCAGGCGCTGTGCCGCTGAGCTAAATCCCCAGCCTTTGAGTTTAATTTTCTTGAGATCACAATAGAGAAATTAGAAACTAGAATCCTTTGTGTGAAAATACATGTGTATGTAAGTTGGTACACTTTTTCTTGTTCTTTTTGAGATGCAGTCTCGCTGTGTAGCCCAGGCTGACCTTGAACTCTCAGTGACCTGCTGCCTCAGCCCGAGTGCTGGGATTACAGGCTGCGCCACCACGCCCGGCTAAAATTTGTCTATAGATTCTTTTTTTAAGACAGACCTTATTTTACAGTTCAGGCTGGTCTTTGCAGTCACCATGTAGCCACATTGGCCTCAAACTCATGGCGATCCTCCTGTCCCAGCCTCCCAAGTGCTGGGATTACAGCTGTGCACCATCATGCCTGGATATGAAACTATTTTCTAACATCAGAAACATCAGGATTAAGAAATGCCCATGCATGAATTAAATTTTAGACAGGTCTTCAAAATAAGCTTACCAGAGTCCCACAACTGCCCTCACAATCTTTTTCTTTTTTTGAGGCAGGGTCTCGCTGTGTAGTCCAGGCTGACCTCACACTCAGAGAAATCCTCCTGCCTCAGCCTCCTGAGTGCTGGGATTACAATCATGTGCCACTATGCCTGGCTTGCCCTCACATTGTCTTTTTTAATTTGCATTTTATTTTGCCTAGGAAATCTTTAAAGTGGTATCTAAGAAAAGTAACCTAAAAGACAAGTTACCAGAGAACCTAAGAACTCAGATTCCAATGAGTTCCTTTGCCACTTTAGGTTACTTTCTTACTGGTTTTTTCTCTCTTACTGGTTCTTAACCCACCATTATCATTTGAAATTCAAGCTGTGATTTTTTTTTTTTTTTTTTGGTCATTTTGAGACAAGGTCTCGCTATGCAGTTCAGGCTGGCCTTGAACTCACTTTGTAGCCCAGGCTGGTCTCAAACTTGCAGTGATCCTCCTGCCTCAGCCTCCCAAGTGCTGGGATTACAGGCATGCGCCAACATGCTTGGCACTTTCTAAACAACTTAATTGCACGGTATACATTTTACACTAAAGTACAAATTGCCTAAAATGCTGGTATTTGAGAGATCTAAATCAATATCATCTATGCAAACAAATTTTTGTATGCATTAGTAACTGCATAGCAATATATTCCATGGAGGAAAAGACAATGAAAATCTAAATATTTAGATCCCATGAAAGATATTTGAAAAACAAATTTTACAATGCTTTTTTATGCTCCTTAAATACTCTTGATTTTGATGCTATAATTTACTGAATCCAAGCCGGGTGTGGTGGCTGGCGCCTCTTAATCCTAGCTACTTGGGAGGCAGAGGCAGGAGGATCATGAGTTGGGATGAGGGTACAGCTCAAGTCAGAAGCCCTGGGTTTAATCCCCAGTGCTGTGAGAACAAACAAACAAAAAACCAGCAAACATAAAAGCAACTGTGAAATGCATTTTGGGAAGACAGGATGCCACACTCAAATCTACAGATTTTGAAAGCATTAAAAAAAGTAAAGTTATTGGGGAAAACTGCACATTCCAGATTAAATGGTGTGTAATATTTGTGGTAATTTAAGCACTCCTTTGTGCTTATTTTATGCCCTCTGTCCAGAAGTGCAAAGTGATACCTAAGGCCTCCTTCACATATCTGGGGAGTATACAGAGGAACAGAACTTTGCCCAAAGAAAGTCAGGTTTTTCAACCCAAAATGACCCGGTTTCCCACATGTCCAGTTCTGTAAAATTCAAATTACAGACTATCTTGAACGCTTCCCTGTTATTTTGCCAGTGTCAGTAAGTTTGCAGTTACATTTTCAATTGTGTGCTTCAAGCTATGCTAGGTAAAGCCTGGAAGCTTGCCGTGTAGCTAGCAGAAGGAATGACAAAGTTAAGCAAATGTAATCAAATGCTTCCACAAATGCTTCCGTGAGACTGAGGACAGGCCTGGAAATTTTTTACCTCATGTTTCTCCCCCGGGATTTCACAAGGCAGCTGCTCCCACCCGCATCACCATGGGGACCACGCGTGAGCGCTCAGGAAGTTAACTCCAGTCCTCCTTCACCCAGGACCTCCTGTCTCTCAGCGCAACGAGCTTTAGGGTCACTGCAAACAAACCGCTAAGGTCTCATGTACGTGCAAATGGTTCATGTCGGGCTCAGTCAGCTAATCTCTTGCTTTAACTGGCTTGGGACTAAGGAGCATGAGGAGGAATTCAGAAACACCCTACGGGCCAGGCATGGTGGCAGACGCCCGGAGTCCCAGCGCTCGGCAGGCTGAGGCAGGAGGATTGAGAGTTCAAGGCCAGTGCCAGTACATGGCAAGACCCTGTCTCAAGAAGCTCAAACAGGCACACAGAAAACCACCAGAAATCCACAGTGTAAGTAGTCACATGCAAGGACTGAGACAAAAGCAGGTCACACTGCACGGCAGTCTGAACTGGAGCTGTCCAAGCACTGGAGGCGCGCTGCGCCGCGCTGCTGTCAGGGCCCTGGGGCCCCACCCGGGCCGCCCATGCCTCACGCACCTTGCAGCCCAGACGGCGTGGCGCTTCTCTGGACCTGCAGGGCCCCTCTGGGGCCTTGCTGCGGCAGACGTGGGGCTGTGCTGGGCACAGAGGGGCCGCTGCGCGAGGTCACTGCGAAGCTGCCTCCGGTCAGCAGCCCGTGGGTCAGCAGGACGGAGGCGAGCGAGAGACCGAGCCGCGCCCGCTGCCCACCGCAGTCTACAGATCTTAGCATCGGCAGTGTCTCCACTCTAACTCGTGCCAGCAGTGTGCATGCCACAGTTTCAAGCGTTAGAAAATGTGGAAGAGGACTTTCCAAATAGTCCCTGCCCAACCGGTGTACCCAGAACAGCGACAGAGCGCCTGCAGATACCCTTGGGGGCCTCAGACAAAAGCCTGAGAAAGTAAAGACACAGCAGCTCTAAATTCTCTATAATCTTCACAGACAAGGAAAAGAGTACCTCGGAGAAGCAAGTTTTAATAGAATTGGGTGTTTAATTTCCCCCACAGTAAGCAAAGCGAACATCTCAGCGTTATGACCCTGGCGTACCAAACTGAGCGTTAGGAATGTGGCGAAGTCCGCCGTGGAAGTGTCACAGAGGAGGACGGCAGTAGCAAACACAACGCATGTTCAGTTTCTGCTCCTCACTGTACACTGACTGCTTATCTGACAGCAGCTCTGCTGGTTGGAGTATTTTTGATTTTGTTTTTCCTTCTTTTTCTACAGGGAATGCAGAATGGCAGTATTCTCTTTGGAACAAAGAAGACAGGAAATAACAAAAGACTGACTTCACACATATTCTCAAAGAGCAGAACAGCTAAGGAGATTCCTCAGCACACTGCCAGCACGGAGCGGTGGCGCAGTGTCGCACTGCTTGCTGCGGGGAGAACCAAGCTCCAGGCTGAGTTTTCCGCCACAGCGGACCGGACGGGCGGGGCGGGGCGGGGCGGGGCCCGGGGGAGGGCGCCTCCTGGGCCCGCCTTACCTAGCACGTCTGGTTATTTCACCCACACAGACGCTGCGTCATCCTAAGAGACTCACCAATGATTCTGTGTCCAACTTTTATACCCCAAACAGGTTCTCTGATGATTTATCATGCTAGCATAGGAAATACGAAGAAATAACAAATCAGATAACATAAACAGACATGCAGTATAGAAGGGTATAAAAGGTACAGCTTGGCCCTAGATTTTTTTCCTTAGAGTAACCCCTTCTATAAATAAAACCTTACTTTTCACATAGAGACTCACAACTGGGCTCAGGTCACAGACAGTCACCAACACAGCTTACAGAAAGTGAGAGCATGTTGCTCAGGCTTTCTGTCACCCAGACCACAAGAAGGGTGCTCAGGTCAGGTTATGCTGTTCTTAAACACATTTTCGGAGGCTTAGAATGTAAAGCACACAGTAATTAGAGCAGCAAGAGTCTTTTTAAAATGACTAAAACAAATTTTAAATATAAAGTATATAAAAAGGATTATTAAGGACTTTTCAAAACTATATTTAGAAATACAGGAAAATATGTTGCCTCATAATAAAGTTAAATAAATATTCTTTCTGAATCCTATAAACACTATAAGATGTTTTAGATTTGGTTCTCATAAGTTAAAAAATCTGATTGCTTTTACATAAATTCTTCCAAACGCATCTATGCTCAGATTTTTATTGTCTTTCACTGCACTGAGATTATTTCTAACCTTCTTTCAGAAATGTGCTTCTTCGTTGGCTTTAGTAAGTGTACTTAATCTTCTAGCAAGAAACATGATTTAGAATGTAAGGTTCCGCAGGTAATTCCAGACAAAGGCAGACGCTCGACCCTCTGCTCCGCGCTCTCCATGCCCCTGCAGGCCTCACGCTTCCCCACCTCGCTCACCGCGGCAGAGCCCCTGCAGCCAGCTCACCTCTTGCAAGATTTCAGAACTCCTCAAAACTTCGCAACACCACAACGGCATTAAGACCGCATGTGGACAGGTTAGAAGTATTAGTGTTAAGTCAGTTTTTGCTATTGGAAAGAAAATGCAAATCTTTACTTTTTCTAAATGAAATCGGAGCTCCAGCCTCAGTTCTCAAGGTCATGTCTAAAATGTACATTACTAAAGAAAGGTAAAGCTGTTCAAGGGCTGGACAATGTACCAATGTACAATTGAGGATTTTTTTTTTTGGTACCGGGAATTGAACTCAGGGCCTCACGCTTGCCAGGCAGGCGCTGTGCCGCTGTGCTATATCCCTGGCCCCAATTAAGGATTACTTATTCCTGCTATTTCTTGTCTTTTTTGTTTTTAATCCCTACATTATATTAAACCCCTGGCTTCTCGTGGATTAGATCATAATTTAACATTATAAAAATTTCAGAAACTATTGTGCTAATATTCAAATTTCAGGATGGAATCTGACTAAATTAACTACCTCCATTTATTGTTAGAACAGAAGATAAAATAGCTTACTAACTGATATGAGTTATGAATGTCACTGTGACACAAAATTTGCTGTGATTTTCTTATCTGGCTACAAGTGCAGTATTTTTCATGAATGACAACACACAGCATTTCGGACTTGTAACACGAAACTCCAGCTCATAAAGTGTTGTGTGACTTAAAAGGTCTGAGTGTAACAAAGTAACACCCTTCCCCTGGAGACAGGGCCAAGACCCGCTGGGAAATCAGGCACAGGCGGTGTGTGTCGGGTTCTCCCTTCCCTCTGTGGTCTTCTTTCCAAGACATTTGCTGCGCACGGTCCCGTCAGAATCCAGCGCTTGTTACAAGATGACACAGCTGGGTTTCTCCTTTTCCTTTTCTTTGTCTTTCTCTCGAGGCTCCTTCCGCTTGCGGTCACTAATCGCAGGCTGTCTTCCACTGGATGGAGAGGCTTCAGCCGGCTGGCCCTGCTTGAGGAAACACACAAGAAGAAATCACACCACCCAGTCCAAGGGGCTTAACCGCACACCACGCATGAAAGCCACAGCGGTGAGACACAGCACTAAGGGACAGAAAAGCCAATAACAAAAAGGTCCTGGGGAGGGAGGCAGGGAGGGCCTCACTCTATAGTTCAGGCTGGACTTGAACTCACTATGTAGCCCAGGCTGGCCTCAAACGCACAGCAGTCCTCCTGCCTCAGCCTCCTGAGTGCTGGGATTACAGGAGTGCGCCACCACACCTGGTCCTAGGTTTATTATATTAATGGGTATTTGCATAATTACCGCTACTGGACAGATGCTAACTAATTAACGCATTTATTACAATAAAGGGAATGTCTAAAAATAAACCACACATAAGCCCCTAGCTGAAGAACCAGTGCATGAAACATGAACCGAGGGGAGGTGAAGGTGGAGCGGTGCTAACCTGCGCTGCACACGTGGTCCGTGTCAGCACTGGGCTAAGTGCTAACATTTGTCTTCTCCAGAAACCCGAGTTACGTATTCTCTTCTGTTTTACACATACAAAAGACGAGGCTACAGGAGGGGAGGGCTTTGTCCAAAGTACTGCAATGAGGAGACACAGAAGCAGGAAATGCAAACCTACATCTGGTCCAAAATCTGCATTCTCTCCAGTTGTATCTCAGACTGCCTTAGCACGCGGTTCAAATTAATTTATTTTCTTTGCAGATATACGTAACTTAAAAAGTTAATACCTAATTTAAATTTTCTTTAACCCTAAGCAGAAATCTCTTTACTGTTAAAGCAACCACCATATTTAAGAATCACAACACGAGGGTGGGGATATCGCTCAGCAACACAAGTGCCTGCCTGGCAAGCGCAAGGTCCTGAGTTCGACCACCAGTACCAGAAAGAGAAAGAAGACTCACAACACTAACTTTTACCTGGGGCTGTGCAGACGCGGCAGCCGCTGCTGCTGCATGCTCCTGCTCCTGGTAGAACTGAGAAGCTCGTCTGTCTTCTTCCTCCTGCAGCTTCTTTGCTAGCTCTAAGTCACTGATCCCTTCTGGGATCTGCTCCCAGTTGACCTCTTGATTCTGCTGTTCTTGTAGAGATAATGCCATCAGATAGTCCTAAGGAGTTAAATTATCACCGTATTTAGCCTGGAGATTTTATCCAAAAATCAGTAATCTATGAAGCTTTGAGAATATCTCTGAAAAATTATATCTGAGTTTAAATATTAATATGAAAGTTGTATTTCTCAGTATTTCATTTGGGGAGCTATGAATTTATTTCAGTGATGTTGTTATTTCTAAATATTTGTGGCATTCATTTGAAATTCTAGAAAATTAAATGACATCTTCACACTGCTTCTAGGCCCCAAAGTTCTGGTTGGTGGAAGGGATGAACCGAACTCTAAAGACAATACTGACTAAATATTACCAGGACACTCAGGCACTGTGGACAGCTTTACTACCTATAGCCCTCTTAAAGGTCAGGACATCACCTGGGCCCACTGGATACACCCCTTTTCAAGGGCTATTTGGGAAGCCCCACCTCTAATAAAGGGTCTTGAAGGAGTCTGTCAACTGGGAAATGATATCTTGCAAGAAGAGCTTATTCAACTAGAAAAAACTTTCTCCTTGATACATACAAATATAGCAGAAAGGGCAGCTCTTCCCGCTGACACCCTGCTTGTACCCGTAACCTGGGTGACATGCTCTGGGTTACAGACTGGAAAAAGGACCCATCATCTCCTGGGTGGAGGGGCCCCTACGCAGTAATTTTGACCACTCCCACTGCAGTGCAGGTAGCAGAGATCCGTCCCTGGACTCATCACTCCAGGATCAAGAGGGCCCATCCTGATGACTGCAGGAAGGCCTACCCCGACGTTGGCGCCCCCGAAAACCACCCTGAGGAGACAACGCACCCAAAGCCCTGCTCCTGTCACCCCGGAAGCTGACAAGTCATGCATGGCTGAAGATCGAAAGGCCGCCATACACTGGGACATCTGTGGCCTCAGACGGTTGTTCTGCTGAATTCTTTTTCCTCCCGTTAGCCTTGACATTTGCTGCTGTACTTTACACTGTGTCCCCAGAGGACCGGCGAGTTGTAGAAAAGGCTGCTTTGTTCTTTTCTGTCTTACTGTAGTTACTGGACTGCGGACCCTTGACTGTTTAAAATGGTTTTCCTATAGGTAACACACCTGAACATCCTGGGAGTGTATGGTAATTCTGGGCCCTGGGCAGTCCAAATTCAGATTTAGGGTTTGAGTCTTGTCAAAACTCCTACTAATCGGACCAGAAGGGAACACGCTCACCCTAAAGCGTGCCTTTGTTGTGATGCATGCTGAGTCCAGGCTGAGCCCCCAAACTGGGAAGACTTTGCTGCTCCTCGGGACGTGGAGGATGAAGTTGGGAAGGGTAATATCGCTCTAATCATAAGCATCTATCCAGAATGGCGACAAACCAGGAAGGACGGTAAGCCCCCTTTATCGTCCACATTCTGTCCACGACGGGACTGTGCCACGGACTGGGGGAGAGCTAGAAACAGCCTTCCTCAGCTCCCCTTGGGTCTGACCCGCCTGCGGGGAGCTTGTGGCCCCTCACAGGGCACGATTCCAGACCCTCCCCGTCAAGGCTGGTCATCAGGTCGCCAGAGTCCAGGCGGGTGGCGGGGACAAATCTCATGCCTTGTTTTAAAAAGCATGAAGATCTAGGTACCCCCACCCCCATCCCACAGTAAAATTCCTTCACAGAACCACTGCTGTCCCCATTGGCCGCGCACCCGTTACAAACCACACAGGGCCTCCGGCCCCGACCTCCTGCGCCTGCTCAGCGGCACCCGCCCGGCCCTCCACGCTGGGAGCCCAGCGCTGGGCAATGACGGCTGGCTCTCGCCGAGCCCGGGGCCGAACCCAGAATGGTTCTGAACTCAAGTCCACCAGCGCCCCCCACTTCCTCCAGCCTCCCCCCGACGCTGGGGAAACACCTCTTGCTTCCTGGGTTCCTCCGAGAGCCAGGAAGAATCTGCTGACTGTGCAGATGTCCCACGGCTCCTCAGGGCCCCTCGAGGCTCCCACGGGGTCTCTGCTGTGATGGGGCTCACCACGCGTTTAACAGCGCCAGTCAGTCTCTGTGCCCCTGCTTTCCTGGTACCTGGCCTGTCTGCTAACTCAGCTCAGGAGGCCCCGCACACACCCAGTCACGTCGAAAGTGTGACCCATGACACTGCCCGCGCCAGCTGGGGCAGCAGTAACCGGAAGCCCAACCCTTACTTAGTAGCACAGCCGTGGGGAAGGCCACAGTGACACTCACAATTCAGTGCTCAGATAGTGGGAGGTTCTGCCAACATACAACTCGCAGACACGACAAGGCCAAAAGATTCTTTGGCCGCAGTCACCCTCCAAACAGGAGGGCTTTGGATCTCCTGGCAGCACCGAGACCCCTGTCTTTCCTGGGAAAAGGTGCTCTTACTATGCCAGCACGTCAGGGATAGTAAGAAAGAAGATGCTCTGTACGCATCCCGAGCAGAAAGCTACAAATGCGATAGGAGCTTTTTCTGGTGGGCACCCCTGGATTTCCCCTTGTTTGGGCCCACAGGGGCCCTCCAGTCAGTTCTCCTCCTGGGCCTATATGCGATTCAATTTCTTTTGTTTCTTTTTTTTTTTTGGTCTTTTTTGAGACAGGCTGGCCTGAGCTCACTTGGTAGCCCAGGCTGGTCTCGAACTTGTAACAATTCTCCTGGCTCAGCCTCCCGAGTACTGGGATTGCAGGCGTGCGCCACCACGCGCAGAGTGATTCAATTTCTGACTTGCTTTTTGTCTAGACGGTTTGCGGCCGTACACCAGCAACTTCTTATAAAGGCCACCTCCTCCTCTCAGCTTCTTAAAACTGAGGAAGACGACTGTTCCTTATAATAAAACAAGGGAGGGTAAATGTAGAGGCGATTTTAAATGTGAAGGAAGTCTTAAAACGTATATTCTAACCCTATACACGGATGGAACTGGGGAGCGCAGCCTGTTGCTACAGTTAGAAAATTAAAAAACTTAAGGAGCCTTAGCGCTGCACTGCCAGCTGCAAGGCAGTGGCCCAGCCTGGGGTGCAGCCTGTTACATTCTGCTTGCTTCCCAGTTTTCCAGACCTGCCACCTCAAGGGCGGCTCGGCTCAGTCTCAGACAATGACTTGTTCTTGCTCACCACAGCCTGGACGTCCTTGTCCCCTTCCCTAGCAACGTACGACAAGCGCGTGACCCACCGCAGAACGCCCTGTATCTGCCTTTTGCACTTCCTCCTACAAACCTATACAAGGACTGCTCTACCCCAAGACAGGGCTGGCGATCGGACCTCAGGGTCCCCAGCCCGCTAGCGTAATAAAGGTCGGTGCCACGTCATCCCTCTGGTCTGACCCGAGTTCCGCAGTAAGAAAAATGAGAAAACTGTAAGTAAGGAAATTTAAACCGCCATAATATTATCACACAGACAACTGCTGTTAACTGTGTAGCCAAGATTTTTGTACATTCTTACACAAACTCAAAAACCCACTATGAAACTACTATAGCCTTCCTTTCAATGTCTTAAAACCCCGTTGTATTTTTAAAGTCGTGATTTATCAAGATCATTTCCTCCATCCACACTTTTCCAAAGGTGACCCCAAAGCCAGCACAGCCGGCGTGAGGTACACTCATCACCGAGCCGCCTTCCCCTTCACTCACACAGACCCAGACATCTCCTATGAGGAAAAATGGTGCGTTTTGGTTTCAAGTTCTATTACTAAGGTTGTTGCCACTTTTTTTTTTTTTGGACACAGGGTCTTGCTATGTAGTCCAGGCTGGCTTTGAACTCACTTATATAGCCCAGGCTGGTCTCAGACTCATGGGGATCCGACTGCCTCAGCCTCCCAAGTGCTGAGATTACAGGCGTGCGCTAAGCCTGGCTTAGCTGCCACTTTTCAAGAGTTAGTGTCGAATGAAATTTGACTGCTCCGCGCACACCCTCGCTCCCCTCTGCCCGCGCTGTCTGTCAACGTGACTGGATGGCCAAGCTCCTGACGAGACGGTGAGGTGTGCGGAAAGGCCCGTCTGGAGTGGAGCCCAGCTGGAGAGAGCGGGTCTAGAGCTGTGGCCCTGGGGACTGTTATTCCTGGCCCCTGGCCTATCTGCTTCCCAGCAGCCTGAGTCGGGCAGCTTTGCTCCACTGCCCCTTCGCCACGATGTCTCTGCCTTGGAGTTGGCCAGCCTTAGACGGCAACCTCTGAACCAGGCCCAAACCCCGGTCCTCCTGTCAGTTGTGCATGCCAGGCGTTTTGTCCCAGTGGTGAAAAGCTAATGCAGAAAACTGGAGCCAGAAATTGTCACTGTGGACTATGTACCCGACCACGTGCTTCAGCAGCCTTTGGAAAGTTTTTAGGCCGAGTCTGGAAGTGTCTGAAACAGCAGGCTAGAGGAAGCTTGGATGTTGAAATCTGAACTCGATGCGTAATTCTGGTGCAAGCTCAGCACCAGAATGCCAGCCGGCGGGAACGCAGACGGCGAAGGCCAGCTGGGGAGTGCTCCGGGGAGGCTGCTGCGAAGTGGGCTGGAGCCTGTCTTGCGTTACATTTTGGTGAAGAACTTGTCAACATTTTGCCTGTGCCTGAGGCTCTCCTGGAGTCTGAGTCTAAACGTGGTCAGCAATGAACCTAGAGGAGGAATTTCCAAAGAAGCCTTGCTCCCAGGTGCTTTTAGTCTTATGTATTTATAGTGAGAGTCAGAAACAAAAAGCAGCGCAGAAAGATCTGAAAAAGGTTTAGTTTGGCCAGAAATGACAGCAGCGGTAACACTGCGGCCAAAGAAGGTGTGGCTGCTCAAGAGAATCGCATCATTAAAAAATAAGTGCTTGGGGATGTAGCTCAGCGGCACAAGCACCTGCCTGGCAAGTGCAAGGTTCTGAGTTCGATGATCCCTAGTACCAAAAAAAAAAAAAAACAGTACTCGGAGGCAGGCACGGGGGCACGCGCCTGTCGCCCCAGACCCCCGCTCTCAGGGAGGCTGGGGCAGGACTGCTGTGAGTTGAGGCCAACCATACAAAGATAGGACCCTGTTTCAAAAAACAAAGACAAACGCAAAGGAAGTGCTTCGCATCAGGACGAGAAGGAAGACGCCTTGAGGGCACTCGGGTCAGCAAGGCACAGGCTCCAGGGCCCTCTGAGAGGCTGCTCAGAGAAAGAGCCCGGGGGCTCTGCCGACGCCGAGTCTCTGGGCACGCAGAGGCGGCTGCGCCCCCAGGGGCCCAGAGTGCCGCGGGCACTGGCAGCAGGCCTTGGCGCTGTCCACGTGGTGCTGGCTTTGACGAGTGCAGAATGCCAAGCGTCACGAGGTCACAAGACGCTTCTGCCCAGGTCTCCAAGATAGGCCCGGGAGGCCACGCCATGTGCCACAGGGCTACGGTCCCTTCCAGGACCCCCTGAGAGGGAGAAGCACGAACCTGAAGGGCAGAGCCGAAGCTGCAGTGGAGACCCCGGGAAGCTGGCGATGCCGGGAACGTGCAGTGTCCACTGAGGACAGCTGTAGGCGGCAAGTGGAACTGGCCCAAGAGCGAGGCCACACGGCTGCTACCAGTAAGGCCACAGGGACGGAGCCGCAGCAGCTCTGTGAGCTCACACGGTGCCACCACGTGCCCTGAGTGCGGGACACGGAGCTCGAGGACTTCGCGTCTGCCCCGCGGGGTTTGGTTTCGCTTTGGCCAAATTCATCTCCCTCTTCCACCCTTGAGGAATGAGAATGTTCACCCTGTACCACTGTATCTTGGAAGGATGCAATCTGCGGTTTTGTTCCTACAGGGGTTCACAGCTAGGAGTTCGAGTTCGGCCTCAGAGGAGAGTTTTGAGCCACTCTTTGTAGCCCCAGCACCTTGTTATACAGACACAACTGCTCCACAGACGTTTGCATGCACTTTTGAATACACAAATTAAATTTTCTAGGGACCTCAAACATGTGTGGGGAGCAATGGAACTTAATAGGCCTTTTAGAATTTGAAATTTTAAAGGAAAATCTCTGAATAGAAGATACCGCGATTTAAAAAAAAGGCGAAACCAACAGTCTCGATGCAGCGCAACTGTGATTAGCAAAACGTGTGTCAGTGTGTGACATAACACAGCCTCCCTCACTCGGAGAGTTCATACCCGCGTCGCACGCCAAGTCACGAGCACACCGCAGCGCCAAGCCCATCTGCACAGAAGGCAAAACGCATCCGCCTCAGCTCGAAATGCAGGTTCTACCCCTAGTCAGCGCTGCGGTAAGAACCTGACCCTCCCTGCCTGGACGCTCATGTAAGAGGACACACGCGCTTTTACCCACCGCGATTATCTTCGGGACTCCCTTTTTCCTGCGTTTTCTCTGTTTTTTTTTCTGACTAGCCACATACATCTTGGGGGCTCATCTCCTCTCCACCAGCACAGCTAACTCCATCACCGCTCTGTCTGGACCCCTCGGACCTGTGTGTAGCCTCCCCACAGCAGCCTTCTGAAAAGGTAGCGCAGATCACCCCACCTCCTTATTTAAAACTTGGCACAGACTGTCTACTGCTGTGAGAGTACAATCTGAACTTCTTACCATGACCTCTCCAACCGAGCAGGACCGGCACAAGGCCTTCCCAGCCGAGCCACGGCACCCACCCACGGGGTGAGGACGACCGCTTACCTGTTCAGGGCGTGCCAGGGAAACCTCCCAAGTACACCCAGTAGCGACTCTTCGGTTCAAAGGCCTTGGACAAGCGGGGCTAGCGTTTGCAAGAATGCACACTTTGACCAAACGTACCTGATCTATCTGATCCTGCTGTCCTTTGTATACAGTGTCAGGGTCCGAAGGAGGCCTCAGATGGAAGTCTGAGTCACAGAAGTTTCCGTCACCGTCTACATTGTGCAGGCTCTCCCAAACAACCTTCTCTTCAGTCAGAAACCCCTGGTCTGTTACCAGCAAATACAGCTGACCCTTAAGGAGAAATAAGAAAGGAGTGTTACATTGTTCAAAAACTGTATTTATCCTAAACTCTAATCTGTGTTTAGAGAGTATGAATTATTCCTACCAGCCAGATCTGTACAGCGCAATGAACAGATCAAACACTACAGTGTTCTAGGGGCAGGCCACCCACTGACTGTACAGAGACGGAACCCGGGGAGCGCCGAGCTACATTTGCCGCCGTTTTTAATTTCTGCCGGAGTCTTACTCAGTCGCCTAGTCTGTCCTCGAACTTGTGACCCTTCTGCTTTACTCTCCCGAGTAGCCGGGACTCCACAGGAGTGCTGTTGTGCCCAGCTCAAGGAAGAGCTCTTGTCTGCTCAAATCCACCTGGCTTCGAATGCAGCTTATAATCCGCACACTACAGCGTAACAAGGAAGGAGACCTCTTGGCGTGCCAATTAATACTTGAGTGTAAGGCTAAGTAACCAGCAGAGTGTTTCTTACAGTTGCGTAAGTGGTGACACACAATTTTTGGGGGGTGGGGGTACCGGGAACAGAACTCAGGACCTTGCGCTTGCCAGGCAGGCACTGCGCCCCTGAGCCATCTCCCCAGCCCTGGCCGCGAACTCGCAGCAATCCTCCTCCTCCAAGTGCTGGGATCACAGGTGTACGCCACCACGCCTGGCTGCCTCCTTCTCTTAATGTTGAAAGAAAGTGAGTTTTTAATGTTTCAGTCACCTTTACAAAGAACTGAAGTTAATGGATTTTTATTTAAAGATAGCATTCCATGAAAAAAATTTCCCACTTTCCCCTTAGTCAAAGAGGTACTTGTTTTTATTTCAGCAGTGCAAGGATCAAGCCCCAGGGGGGCCTCACCTCACACAGCCAAGTGTCTGCCACTGAACTAAAACCTCAGCTCGCAAATGTACTGTATTCTCAAATGCCTGGCCTTGAGCTCACTTTGTAGCCCAGGCTGGCCTCGAACTCGCAGTGATCCTCCTGCCTCAGCCTCCCGAGTGCTGGGATGCCAGGTATGCGCTACCGTGCCTGGTCTCAAGTAGCTTTAGTATCCACGCTCAAGCACACCCCTTCTAAACCACTGCTCATTTCTCTCTCTCTCTCCTCCCCCTGTCCCTCCTCTTTTTTGGTACTGGGAATTGAACTCAGGACCTTGTGCTTGCCAGGCAGGTGCTTGTGCGGCTGAGCTGCATCCCTGGCCCTCTACTGCTCACTTCTAATCCCTAAATGTGAAGTAAAGAAGTAAACCAAACCAACCGCAAGACCTTAGGCGTGAGTCTACTCCAGAGAGGTGTAAGTCATGGCCCTGGACGGACACAAGGCTGAAACGGCCAGGACGACCCAGGGGGCATCACACAGGAGGGCGCGGCCCAGGTTACCACTGTGGGAGTGACGGGAAGCACACGACGTGTGCCGGCCTCCTGTCTAGACCCGCAGGCGTGGGTCTGAATGCCTCTGCTCTCTCAAGGATCCTCGTTCTACCTCTAGAGCCAGATCTAGTTATGCTGTTGGAAAGCACAGACCTGTGCAGACTCATGAAGTCAGCAAGGACCTAGCAAGACAACCGGCCCAGTTTAACCGAGTGCCGTACGGACAGGAACATGTAACAGAAATTGGGTGCATACATTGTTCTGCCAGTGGGCAGCCGAGGGATGCAAAGTTTAACAAGGAATGCATGGCGGTGCTCTTACAAGTAATAATGCACAGGCCTGGAGCGCACTGCTTTGCTAGGAAAGGAAGAGACAGAGGAGAAGAGGAGAAGTACAGTATTTACTCAGAGTTTAGGAAAGGTAAGCCACCAGGCTAGGGGTAGGAGGGCGAGCAAAAGGAAGTCAGCGTCTATTATCAGAGAAAATGTCCTATGTGATCAAAATCGCACTTCTTATTGTACTAGTCAGTAAGTTTGAGGTCGACTGGCAGTTACTATTCAGGAAAAAAGTCACTTTTATTATTGTGCCCACTGGGACTCTGACAGCAGAAGGCCTGATCCAAGTTCTATGTAGGTGGACTCATAATGAACAGAGTCCCCTGTTTAAACATGGCTTTTGGAAGTGTGTATACACTTTGAACGCTTTGGTATACAGGAGGTCACCAAAAAGTCTAACCTAACCTGCCTCGATCCAGCATCTACCAAGGGGTCGGAAGAGGCGCAGTACTGGAGAATGTCCGGTCAGCGAGGACCAAACACACCTCCCTCTGCTCCAACAGAAGCCCACAGCTCACACGGCTCTCACCTCCCGAAAGCCTTGCTTCTGTCCTGCCCTGGTGGACTTCTGCCTCGCTGGCCTAGGTCCTGAGGTGATAATGACATCTAAGTGATCGTGGGTGCAGAAAACATATAGATCCTTCGTGGAAATCATAATGAAATACCAGTTCCACTGACAAAAGTAACAGTTACAGAAATTTACGGCTGATTGCCACTTGAGAACAGACAGCTTGGCAATTTACCATCATCGCTGCTGTTATCCTTTTATAAGCCCGTAACTACAGACATCCTTTATCTCTACTAAAGCAGTCTATCCAGACATTAAATTTATTGTTGGCTGAAAGTATATCTTGAATTCTGTAAGATGAAATGTGTCTATACTACAGGTGCTCCAAAGAGTTCACAGGGACAGAAAGACAGGCACGAAAATGACCATCAAATACGAAATCCTAAAATTCCCCGAAAGACTCTGGGCTTTTGGAAAGTAAACATGGGAAGGCACCACGACGATGTACGGTAGCACTAAAGTAGTCTCATCTTGTTTGAAAAAGCAGCTTCCTATTTTTTCATTATTTATGTCATTTTTTTTCCCTCTTTTTCCTTTTTAATTTTTTGGTGGGGATTGAACTCAGTGCCTTTGCACTGAACTATATACCTGGCCCTTAAAAAAAAACTGTTTTTCATGTGACTCCTCTTTATTTATTTTTAAATTTTTTTTGGTCTTTTTGAAGCAGGGTCTCGCTATGCAGTTTAGGCTGGCCTGGAGCTCACTTTGTAGCTCAGGCTGGCCTCGAACTTGCAACAATCCTCCTGCCTCAGCCTCCCAAATGCTGGGATTATAAGCGTGCATCACCATGCCTGGCAAAAAATTTTTTTTTAAAGCCCAGCATGGTGGTATACTTGGGAGGCTGAGGCAGGAGGATCACTGAGTCTAAGGCCAGCCTGAAGTACATTGTCAATTCAAGGTCAGCCCAAACTACATAATGAGGACCTGTCTCAAAAAAACAAAAAATAGGTCCTCCCACCTCAGCCATCCAAAGTGCTGGGATTACAGGTATATGTCACTACACTAAACTGCTTATATCCTTGTTTGATCAGATTCCCTCAGGCTCAAGTTTATAAAGAATAGACTAAAAGCCTAGGAATTTATGGGAGAAAGTAATGCTAAACAAGTTTAAGAGAACAAAGGCATAATCTTCCATTCTGTCCAGTCATTTTAGTGCTTAGTTTGTCTATCAAGAAAAAATTCCTGAAAGGGGATTTTAATTTAATTTTTTTGATAAAGGGCCTTGAGTTATTCAAGCTGGCCTTGAACTCATTATGTAGCACAGGCTGTCCTTAACCTCTCGGCAATCCTCCTGCCTCAGCCTCTCAAGTGCAGGGATTACAGTGTGCATCCAGCTTTTTTCTTTTTCTGAGAAGCAGGGCCTTGCCTCACTGCTCAGGCTGGTCCCTAGCCCTTGGGCTAAAGTGACCCTCCCCCGTCAGTCACCTGAGGTGCAGTGGGGCAGTTACATCTGGCTCACATTAGTTTAGTCTTTTTTTGGAATGGACACTGAACCTAGCACCTCCCACATCCAAGGCAAGTGCTCTAGGGCTGAGCTACATCCCCAGTACCTGCTCTAGAGTATTTAAGGCATTCCTGGGGGGCTTCCAGTCCTACATCCAAAGCCAAAACCCCCAGTATAGATTCTGCTGTAAATCAGACCATCAGTCCCGGGTCGGTAAAGAGGAAGTGGACCTGCCGCTTGCCAGGGTGCACTGGACGGTACTCCACCCGCAGCAAGGCAGCGCACTGTCTGACACTCCAAGACTGGAAAGACAGCACAACGAAAATCAGGGGAAAGGGCGAAGAGGGTTACGGTAAGGCGTGAATGAACAGCCCGAAGGGCGGCAGGCTCCCTGGAAAACCCCACGTTAGGGTCACGTCAGCGTGGAGCTACTCTGCTGAGTGCAACGTGTGACCCTCGATTAGACCCTGGCTTCCAACCCGCTGTAACATGCTACGGGGGGCGTGACTACGGCCTGAGGATGAGACCACAGTGCCAGTTACGGCTGATTTTATTCAGTACGGAGTAATACTGCGATCTGAAAGGAACACGTTCTTGTTTAGTGAGGCACACAGAAGTGTACCAACAGAAGTGTAGACGTAAGTGAGAGGAGCCAAGTGTTACCGCTGTTCAGTGTCTCACTGCTGCTCCGTCGGGAGCACCTGCCTAGCATGCGTGGGACGACGCGTTCGAGCCCTAGCATGGCAAAGACACGCCACGCCACGCCCAGACCACCCAGAACAAGGGTCACTGTTTTGGTTTGTGGTCTCTATAACACACAGTGGCATTTCCCTAGTCACTGGCTGCTACGATATGGTTGCCATTATCCTGTCTAGAAGAACAGAGAAAAAGGTGCTTTGCATTTATTTCTGTAACTCTGGACAATACCATTGTCCTTAATGCCACCCTATGTCTGAACTCTTCGGTTCTTGTACTCTCTCTGTTGCACCCCGTTAATAAGCCCCGCACCCTGAATTACGAACTAGCTACCTTCTCCATGCCCAAGCGACACAGGAAAGCACACAGCGGGCACACCCCTCACGGTTACCGCCTCGGGCCGCCGTTCAGTAGCACAGAGCCTGTCCGGCACACGGCCGAGCTCAGTCTCCAGCACTGGAAAGGCAAATCTCCTGGCCAAAGCAAAACAAAACCCCAAACCAAAACCAAAGTGACCAACGCTCAGGTCCCTCCCGAGACTCAGAATTAGATAACTAGTGGTGTATTCTGGGGCTGGCAAGGTTTTAAAAGCTCCTAGGCAGTTCGGTACACACACTGAGCTGACAACAATTGTTTTAAGGGGGGAAGGGGTGGCTTCAGTGCCAGCCTCGCGTTGGAAGTGCTTCTTGCAAGGTAGGCATGGAGGCAGGCGGTGCTCTGACCCAGACCCTCACTGCCAGGACAAGCAGGAAGGAGCGAGAAGGCCTCTGCAAACAGGCACTAAGGGGCAGGAGCAGCAGCAGCGAGGGTGTGGACACGAGAGCGCACGGCACGCATGGGGCGGAGGGTTAGAGGGGAGGCAGACTTGGGCGGGGCAGCGCTGGCGCAGGCGAGCAGCAGAACACCTCCTGCCCTCCTCCCGCGGCCGCCGAGCGCCTGTGCTCTGTGAGCGCGTGGTCAGGCCACGGTCTGTCAGAGAAGTCCAGATGCAAGGTGGTAAACGCCTGAGCGAGGGCACACCCGCAAAGCAAAAGGGATGGACGCAAAAGGTAAAAAAAGGGTCAAGCAATTTTTATTTTTTGGCAGAGCCATGAATAGTACTATAGAAAGAATTTAAAGTGAAACTAATAACTTCAATAGTGGCAAACACTATTATAAAGGTAACCTTTTTTAATTTTAATTTTTAACATTTTTTTTTTGACACAGGGTCCCACTATGTAGTTCATACTGGCTTTGAGCTCTGGATCCTCCTGTTTCAGCATTCTTTTTGTCTTTGAGACAGAGTCTTGCTTTGTAGTGCACGCTTCAGGCTGGCCTCGAATTTGCAGCAAGCCGCCTGCCTCAGCCTCCCAAGTGCTGAGATTATAGGTGTATAACTACCACTCCAGCTGTCTCAGTCTTCTGAGTGCTGGGATTACAGGGATGCGGCACTACCACACTTGACTCTTTGTTTTGTTTTCTTTTTTGTTTTTAAATACTGAGCCTTGCTATGTTGTGCAGGCTGGCCTAAAATTCAATATCCCGCTTCACCCCCGAGTAGGGGACGGTGCGGCGCATACTACCGTGTTCAGTTTAACGCAAACCTTAATTCTTCTAACTTCTGTTAGCCATCATTGAAAGTCACCCTAGTTCTCTCTCCAGGCTCTTTTTTCTCTTAGAAGATAATACTTTTTAATGTAACAATCTGTGAAAAAGAAGTTGAGAATTTAAAAACAAAAACTGACCTGAGAGAACACTTTAACTGCTAACTCATTCCCTTCTAAAGAACTGCTTAATAATGACCATCACGCTTTGATAGTTAAGGAACACTATACCGAAACCTTTCATTTGAAGCGGATGAAGTACACCTCTACATGCAGTTCCGTCGATTCCGAATGACAGTTAACAGCGATCGCTTCCGCATACCTGGTGCTTGGTCATGGTGCTGAAGTGGTTATTCCGGAAGAACACGCAGAGCTCCCCTTCCTGCACGGCTGCGGTTAGCTCACACAGCCCATGGTACGTCAGCTGAGTGGCTGTACTGTTTAGAAACTGCTCAGCCGCAAAGCCTATGGGACCAATGCAGAATGTTAGACGGAAGAATATTTCAAAATTTAAAAATTATTCTTTTATTTACATTGTGTTCCACATGTGTAGGAAGGCCAATTAATAGAAGACCTTTCCTATTGTATGATGGCCTTAGACTGGAGATTCATCTTTCTAATCTGCTATGGAAATGGTATCTATAGTCATTCCCATCCTAAAATAAAAGCATGACATTGGCTTTATCAATATATATATTTACTTATACTTCATGTACAAGAAGGATTTCTCATAGCTTACAATATAAAACATAAGACACAACAACACTAAATCCATTAAGGCAAATAACAAGTTAGCAGTTAGAAATTTACAGATCTTAGATAATCACAGACTGCCCAATTCCTGCACGTAAGACTGGACAGAAACACTATTTTATCCTAATTCCACCAACATATGCCATATTCTGTAGACACAGTAAGTGCAGAAATTCTCTCGTCTTTCTGAAACGAATGAAACCACAAGTTATCTGAGGTTTACGTGAGAAGATACACACAGCTGACCCTCGTCATCCGCAAGCTCCTAGTGTGAGCCCAGGTACTGGCTACGGGTGACTCACACACACCGCAGTCCATACCTGCTCCACCTTCACTCACTCGTAGACATGTGCAGACAGCCCAGAAGCCTGAACTGCCCAGCGCACACACTCCCCACTGAGGTCACGCAAGGCGGAGCTCTGCCTTGCTCCAGCTCTCGCGCCACAAACAGCCGCCCTTTTCACGGTCCACTAAGCGCCACGCTGGTCGGTCTTGTGCTTTCTGTCTGAAATGCCCTAACCCGAGCCTAAGAGGGGAGTGCCCGTCAGTGCTCCTAACAGGGGTCCCGGGCCAACGAAGGCTGTGATGTGCCTTGTCAGAAAAACACGTGCTAACCAAGCTTTGCTCAGGAACGAGTTTAATGATAAAGGATCAGTAACATGCATCAGATAAGCTGCCCTGGAACAGAAACACGAGGTGGCTGCTCGGCTGAGAGACGTGCTGTGAGCCGTCTCAGAAGAAGCCTGTACCTCCCGGGAGCCCTCGTTCACCTCGGCCGTACACGCAGCACCTGTGCAAATAAGGAGAACCAACTGTACACGTATTTTTGAAATGTGTACTTCTTTCTCTCTCTTCTTTCTTTTTGTTTTCTTCCTTTAGTAAGGAAGAAATGTCTCAGGAAAAGTAGGCAGGGAATTTGCTCTAAAAAGTTTTATAATGGAGCTGAAGATACAGGAGTAAAGATGAATCTGTATTAAGAAACAACTCAGATGCTGGGTGTGGTGGTGCACACCTGTAATCCCAGTACTCGGGAGGCTGAGGCAGGAGGACTGTTGCAAGTTCAAGACCAGCCTGGGATACAAAATGAGCTCAAGGCCAGCCTGAACTGCATAGCCTGACCCTGTCTCAAAAAGACAAGCAAACAAAGAGAGAGAGAGAGAAACAAGTCAGGAGGAACTGGAAAGGAAGTGTAGCCGGCCTGAAGTGCTGTGCACGCTCCGCAGGGCCTCACGCGCCGCGGTGCTTCTAGCTGCACGGGGTGGAGGCGTGTGCCACTGCGGCACACTGTTCCAACGTCTTCTGAGGGCAAAAGAGCAAAACTTCCACGGCAGGCTACAGCCCAAGGGCAGGAGGCACGTCCTGGGCTGGTACATTCGCAGAGCGCGGTCCGCTCCCGCCAGCGTGACCGTGTAAGCAGGGAGTTACCACGGGAAGGGAGGGACGCTTTCACCCTGCAGCCTCCCACGGACACAGCACCCGCCCAGCCGCAACCTCCGCAACTGTCCCCTTCAGGAAGACGCTTCTAAACGCCCCCGCCACCCCTCACTAGCCGACAGCCTCTCTGCAAGTCCTTTTCAAAACTAAACAAAAACTCAGAGGAGGGACACCTTCAAGTTAGTGTGAAATTTAAAAATTTAACAGCAGAAAGGTATTTCACAGCTGCTACTTAGACGAGGAACCAGGCTCAGAGATCATATGCTGGGCGTGGTGGTGCACGCCTGCAATCCCAGTACCCGGGAGGCTGAGGCAGGAGGACCGTTGCTAGTTCGAGACCAGCCTGGGCTACAAAGTGAGCTCAAGGCCAGCCTGAACTGCATAGTGAGACCCTGTCTCAAAAAGACAAAAGACTGGAATCCAGAGAATTATTTTGGTATTAAAATGTTTTTTAAAAAAGTACAGATAACTATATATTCCAACTAAATTATGCATCTCCCCAAATAGTAAAACGCAGTCTGCTAAGAATTATAAAAAATAATCTTTTCTATAGTACTAGCACTTAGGAGGCTGAGGCAGGAGGACTGCTCTGGGTCTGAGGCCATTCTGGGCTACAGAAGCACGACGGCCCCAAGCGGCTCCACGAAGGTGCGGCTGGCCCCGTAACTGCCCACAGCCGCCGCCCTGCACGGCCTGGATGCAGCAGTGCTGCTCTCTGTGCTTCTCTCCTCGTCCCCGCTTTAATGGACACGCCTGCTCTGCGGGTCCGCTTCTCCCCACTCTTCACTTTCACTTCCTTGAATAACTTGGCACTGCTTCAAAAGGGGGGTGGTGAAGTTAGGGCTGGGGCGGCCCACGCCTGAGAGCCCAGTACTCAGGAGGGGCACTGCGTGTTCAAGGCCACCTGGGCTGCAACAGACAGCTGAGGGCCAGCCTGAACTACGTAGCGAAACCCTGTCTCAAAAACCAAAGCTAGGAGATGGGCTCTAAAATTAGGCAAAAAGGACCTGAGGGTATAGTTCAGTGGCACAGCACCTGCCTGGCAGGTGCAAGGCCCTGAATTTGATTTCCTGTATCAAATAAAGAAAGGAAATTAGGCAAAAAGGAATAGAATGTGGAAACAGGAGGAAAGAAACTTGATTTATTAAAAAATATTGCCTAAGCTGGGCATCATGGTATCTTATTGGGCACACACCCTAACTCCAGCACTTGGGAGGCTGAAGCAGGAGGATCGGCGTGAGTACACAGCGAGATCCTGTCTCAAAAACAAAACAAAACAAAACACAACCAGAACTTTTTCTCAACATGATGGACAAGACAATCTCCCTTCACAGGACAACTGCACAGGTTTTCTTTAAAAAGACAGAGACTTGCTTGCTTTGGGGAACAGCAGGGAGCGTAGGACATCTTATTGTGGCAAAAAGGAAGAAACGCTTAAGCAGTGAGAGAACACATCAGAAGAACACGGGACCCAGCACGAGGACACCCACTGGCCACATCTGAGACCGTCTTGGTATCAAGAGAGTAACGCAGCCGCCCCTTGTCTCAAAGAAAAAAAGAATAATGATGACAATGGATTATAACATCTTGGGTTTTTTGGGGGGGCTATTGGGGAGTCAAACTCAGGACCCTGCGCTTGCCAGGCAGGCGCTTATAACACCAAGTAAGAAAGAATCCATGTTTTATACTAATAGAACTTTTTTAATTGAGAAAGGGAGGAGAGAAGGAAAAAGCACTTTTGTTTTTTACAGAAAGGTATCAACTAATACATGCAGGAAAAATAATAAAAATATGGGGCTGGGCATGGTGGTGCACACCTGTAATCCCAGTACTCGGGAGGCTGAG